CACTGTGAGGAAGAACAAACCAACTTCTAGTTGAAGAGGAAATTAAGAGAAGACATTGCAGGTGAATAGGACATACATTACGAAAATCACCAAACTACATCACAAGGCAAGCGCCAACTTGAAATCTTGAAGGGTAACGGAAAAGAAGAAGACTAAGTAACACATTGCGTCGAGAATTTGAAGTAGACATCATAAAAATGATTAGCGAATGGATAAATCTTGAAAAGATTGTCCGAGAACAGATTTTGAAGGACAATGCTGGTGGGCGGTCTAAGTTCACTCACGAGGGTTAAGAGACGTAACAAGTAATTAATAAATCCTTTGAAGGTAAAAAGTACTTTGATGGATTTAGAATTATTTATTTATAGACTTCATCCGTTTTGATTTGTTCCAATATGAGACCATGCGTTCAAACCGTTGAATAGTTCCACACAAAGTCGAAAAGTGTCTGGTTGTTTTTTATTTGCATCATTTTGTCATGAAAATTTTTTCAAAATAAAAATGAACATCAAAATAATCAAATGGACCATTCAGGAAAACTTTAACGAAGGCATCAAAAGTATTACATATTCTTTTATTGACAAATTTTCAAAGCAGATGAAGCATTAAATGAGATAAGTCTAAAATAATCACAATTTATTCCTAATGAATTCAGTTGACGCAAGTTTGTTACAGAACTATCATTTGATTTTGTTTATGTTATACACTTTATTTGTTTATTATTCATTATTTGAACTGCAAACACAGAAGTATACTGTATTAGCATAAACAAAATATTCCTAATTATTGAATGTTATTCAGCTTTATGTTTCTCAAGTCTTTAACACAAATAATTATTCAGTGACTGATTGAAATGTATAATTTGCCTTTGCAAAAGGTGAATTATGATTCGATAATATCAATGGAATCGTATCTGATTGTGACAATGTTTCGTAAAGATTTGAATTTTTCATTGCGTTAACCAATTTTTTTAAAATCGTAGACTGACTTTACAGACAAATGTGAAGTACCATGGATAACCTGGAAGTACTGGACGGTCGTTTTGTCCTACTATCGGACCCCTCAGAAGTTCTCATCCACAACTCCGCCTCTCGTGATTCGAACCCTGCGCCTATCAGCCTGGCGCCAGGCGTATAACCAACCAGACTACTGAGCCAGCCTGCACCAAGTGGTGTTAATATCTAACTTCAATTACTCCACGAAATTGAGCGACACATCCACCATTGTCATCAATGAGTTACTATCTCACAACTGACCTAGTTGAAATGCACTGATCACTGCTTCTAACTAGAACTCCAGGATATACATCTTGAAACCAGTCACCACTGAGCATATATTGATAAGCATCAGGAGGGGTTTTGTGGAGATTTTGGTTGTTTCAGTAGTTGGGATCATGAGTCAGTTGAAGCTAGGCCATCATGAAAGGACTGAACGGCCGTTTCAACCTATTGTGGGACTGCTCAACAGTGCGAATCTACGACCCCGCCTCACGGCATCCGAACCCAGAACCTACTGGTCTGGTGGTTAAACATTTACGCACGAAACTGACAGGTCCCTGATTTGAATCCCGTGAGGCGGGATCGTAGATGCGCACTGCTGAGGAGTCCCAAAATAGGATGAAATGGTCGTCCAATGCCTACATGTTTTCTATGATGGTTTATCTTCAATTGACTCTTAATCTCAAACATTGACATTACTAATAATTTCCACAAACACCCTTTCTGATATTCTCAATAAATTGTGAAAACATTTTAAACATATATACGAATATACTTTAATGACTGTCTTAATTATTAATATACTTTATAGAGTTACTATTAGATTTCGTGTATTCATTTATATAATCTTAAAAGTTTATTCCGTTCTATGAATATTTCAATAATGATTGTAACTGACGAAGATAAATTTGAACAGAATTTTCTAGCATTAAAAAAGAAATTATATTCGATATATGCCTTCTTAATCCTAAATACAAAAAATAGATAAACATTTGATTTTTGATGCCAATATATATATATCCCTTTTATTAAAAACATCTCACGAAACTACATCTATTTACATTTATCATTCTCTAAATTGAATTGATCAATAAGTATAAAATATATTTACATTTATATTTATGTAGTACGAAAGTTCAATAGCTATGTATGTTACATCATTTTATGTTTAATGGTAGGTGTGTTTTTGTTCTTTAGGGGTGATTATTGATTTATATCATTTACATTATTAGGAATATCAATGGAAATCATGAAATATTAGACAACTTTTATTTGTTAGTATGATATTTTTGAGCAATATACAAAAGACACTTCTATCAGAGAAGTTGATTGCATCATATCATGAATCGACTGATGTTGGATATGTAAGCTGCTGAATACCGATTCAGTGTTCTAAATGTTTAGGGTTTGGATTCGATCCGTAGCAAAAGAATTGTGAATGTGTACTAAGGAGCAATGTTATGCTGGAAGAAACAAATGTCCAGTTCATTTTGGTTTTCAGTACTTGTCAAACTGGAATAAGTTATTGAGACCCTAACTATATTGACTTTTATGTAAACTTTTAGATTAATTATTGAGTTTCTATTTGCTTTCCGCATAGTTATGTTTCCTGAATATTAGTTATTCCAATTCTTATTCTCATTCATTGTCATTCTAATAAAATTGGAATTACAAGTACAAATTACTTTTTCACACGACCGTGGACAGATGTACAGAACTTTGAATGTGTGTAGACAATGTTTGTTCAGTTAAAAAATTTCAAAAATGATGACATTTAACTGAAACCGAAATGTACTTCGTCATTAACATAAATAGAAATACTTCAGTGATACAAATCTGTAGTGTCCGTTGATATGTTCTGTTCACAGCGTATTCTAGCTTCTGGACAGGCCAATTTATCCATTCTTCTTGTGTCATATTTGACGTCGTTAATTGTTCACCTATCAAACCTGTTTGTTTTTATATGAGTGTACATCTTATCCTATTCACCATACATCTGTAGCTTGTTTTTGTGTGACTATAAATATCTATTAGCGCATGATTAAATGGAACCGGCTCACATGTCTTCTCCACTGAGCGTCATTTTGCTTCATTTCTTCGACCGTTTGTCTCGATCAACAATTGTACGAAATACACATATTCAAAATCCATTCTCGTATTTGGCTTATTTAATTCCGTTATTCACTAAAGCGGATTAAGTCGATAATTTTATATAAAGATTGACGATATATACATTTCGACAGCGATCAATCATACGATATTATGGGAGTCAGATTTCCGGCCACTAAAAACCATATACTTCAAACCGTAGTGTTTATTTACACAAACCATACACGAATATGTAGTCCAGTTCAACCGGTTAAAGGTTAGTCAGTTGAAGAATGCATATGCAATTGTTTCCAAGAAAAGTAAAGGTAGAAAGTTAAAGTATAAAAGACCATTTAAAAAAAATTAATCATGAGAACAAGTGCTTATGTTTGGTATTATTGGAATTATTGACTTGTTTTAAAATTACCATGTGTTTTTAAAAAAAATTATCTAACACAAATTTGTACTTTTACGGTCTGTATATCGTTGAATGCAAATTTCCATGATAATTTTCTGATTAAAACTGCAGTATATAAATCATTAGTAGCAATATAGGTAAATAATCGGGTTCGTAGTTGTTTGAATTCACTGGGTACTGTTTGTTTGGAACTTTTCATTGATGTTTAGGACTTCAATTGATCAGTATATGTGCATACTGTACGTATTACCTGGATATTGACTTAATTCATCTTTGCTTACAATAGTTCCTTGGTTTTAAATATCAAGAACCTTCGGGATGCTTTTAAAATTTAGGAAATCCTACTCCCATTCTTTCGCTTCTCCATTTTTATCAATTTCAAATGTCTTAGTAACTAAATATTAGTAGTTTCTACTAGACTTTTAATAAATTCCAATCCAATCATCATTGCGTTTGGAATATTACTTGGAATTCCAGGAGTCCTAGGGGAGTTTGTCGGTAAATTATTTCTTCACTTTATTTCAACAAATAATAAAAATATATATTCTCACCATTCGCTAAAGTTTTTCGAAAAAAAGTAATCTTTCTCCATTTATGTTATATCTGGGCGAAGAATAAGTGCATAGTAACTACTAGGTTCTATTTATGGACTGTTATTATATATATTCTTACTGTATAACCATTAAACAATTATATTATATGTACATTCAAATTCATTTTATTATAAACTTCCATTTCACCTATTGACTGGTGTTATACGTTTTACCATTCTTAATTTATTCCCAATCTATTATTCACGGTCTCCTATACTCCCAGCCACTTTTGGTTTGATCTTGTATAATTGTTATTTTCTACTTTATGGTATAAAACAATTATATCAGAAATACCGGATTCATATCGTGGAGGCTGATACTGGTAATCTGGACTAAGCCAGCTGGGTTAGGTGAGAAGCTGCTCTCTCGATGGACCAATAAGAACTGAGAGTTTACTCTAGGGCGCTTGCACATGTTCATGCGTCACCGGTCTGGTCATTAAGTCGATGTTCCAATTGGCGGCCGTATCACATGATAATTAACAGACCACAAGCATGTAACAATTAATACAAGGAATTTCGGTATTGAATAATCACTGAGTAGTTAGTATTCAGTGTTATCTCTGTGTAAGCTTCGGTTGATTAGTAGAATTCAATCTTGATGTTTACATGTATATATAGATTAGCATGTCGCATCATGAGCTAGATTCCTTTACTTCCAACTGCCATGTAGTTTGTATAACAAATGACTAAAAAATGACATTTATAGTAATAAACCAGTATCCTAGTAGTTTGTATGTTTTCTTCAGAAAAATAAAGTCAAACTAAAGATCCTCTATTCAACTTATGGTTGCTTGAAATCATTTACTAGGAGAATAATATTCAAATTATATTTGAATCATTTTTTTAAAATTACAGTTCTCATAGAAATATATACTTTTATATAATCAATTGTTTTTATTAGATAGATCACTTGGGCTCATGTCAAACAGAATATATTCCTAAAACTATCAATTCACATTCAGTGACTATGATCAAGAAACGAAATTCAATGTTTTGTAATGATGGATACCAACCATTCTTTATAACAGATAATTCAAACTAAATGATCAACATTTCATGGTAGGTTTGTAATTTGTAAAACAAACAATAGGAGTATTTACTAAAAATGATTAATTATAACACTAGTATTTATTAATTTAACATCACATTTTAATACCGAATAGATTTGACAAATAAGGAAGTAGCTACAAAACATAACATAAATTTGAAACCCACATAGTTATATCGAAAAATTAAACATAGATATCTTCTAGTTAGTGATGAAAAAATGGAATAGTGAAGAAGATTTGTAGCTCAGGTGGATGATTTTGATGGAGTTTTGTTCTCCGAGCTGGATAGTTTAGTCGTGGAGCTTTCATCGTTCTTCTGAACAACATCATCAGCACAGACATCAGGTAGAAGTGAAGTGTTCGAATTTCTCCACATGTGGTTCACAGCTTGTCTTGTAGACCTCAATGTTGATTGGTTCTTGCTGATTTTAAACCTGTCATTGTCTACTTCTTTGTTTTGGTTGTATCTCTCAATGGGAGATGAAGACTTCTACCTAAAGTTCGTTCTGATGATGTTAAAAAAACGATGAAAGCTCTATGACTAAACCACTGAGCTCAGAGAACGAAACTCCATCAAAATGTTATAATTTCTGAAAAATGTAATGAATTCATGATAAACGAAATCTTACAATGAATGATTATTTATTTTTCGCTTTTAAAGGAAACAAGTAAAATGTTCCATCAAAAAATAAAAATGGGAAATGTTTGTATTGCTTAGGATATTTATGCATTATTTGTTTATTCTTTATTGTAATCCTCATAAATTGTTTATAGCTTATCAAGTTTATAACTAAAACAAAATAAATTACTAGTTAAAATGTGTTTATTATTGTGAGATTTCTATCGTATACTTCATAATGCAAAATGAGATTGGTATATGGAGCAAATATCGATTTAAGCAGATATAAAAATATAATTCATGTTGAAGAAAAACATTTCACAGAACAGTCTGTAAAATAAACAATGCGGTATTCAATGAAAAATTACAATTTGTCTTTATTGTTCATTGAGGATTTCCACAATACTAATTTACAATGCTGAATTTATCGATAACTGTACACATGATATAAACGAAAATACACTAAATTCTACCTTTCAAATAAGCTATGAAAATAGTTTTTGTTTTGCTTTCATTTAAGACAAATTTGTTTATTTATTAGATATATCAATAATGTTTGACTAATTTGTTGTTGATAACATGTGAAGAATAACAGCCGCTGTGAAATTTTAATGGTTGTTTTTTTATTAAAAGTAATCACCAGATGAGATATTTCAGAGAAAATAACTTTTTATGTCATTGTTGTTGCATCCATTTTCAAGAATGATGCGTTGAAGGGGTGTTGTCCGTCAGTCAGTCAGTCAATAACAACGTAGAACTTTGTTCATCAGTTCGAGTTGCCATACCGCATTAGCACACAGTTACAATTGTCGACTCAAATCCTGTAGCGGTAGAGGTAGTATGAGTATTAGCAGTAATCGGAAACATTAGGATTTGAAGATGTTATTCAAAGAGTACAATCCAGTGAAATAAACTTGGGAAGAGAAAAAAGAAAGGGATATGAAGAATTCAGAAGATTAGAATCTGGGAGAACACAAAGAGAGGATGCACCCTAAAAATGTCACACCTCACCTTACCTCACGGATTTTCATCTCCAGAGGTAAGGCCCTTTGAATAACGGAGCTAACACATTGTAAACCTCCCACAAAAAAGCCGTGCGCGACCGGCCTCAAGTAATTGCCCATTGGACTCTGCGGTCAAGCTCCCAGGTCGTTAAGACCAACACTAATCCGACTTCCTTTTCAGGTTCCTCAAGAAATACCTTTCCACGGTGTGGACAGCCGTGAAGTGATATCAACCCTCATACCCGTAACAGCACACGAGGCAAAGTTAGTCACATTCAAATCCCTCGAACACCTCCAAATAAATCTCTTATCTTCACAACTAATCCTTCTCACGTCCCTTTATCACCTCGCATCGCTAGGGCAAACGATTAGAGTACGCGGAACGTTATTCCTGGTCTCCTGAAGGGGTATTGAAACATCAACAAATATGAGTAAACAATTAAAATTCGAATCTTCATTTTCAAATCTCTTAGGTAGGAAGTTTAGTACAAACTTTGATGACAGATAATCCCTATCAAGTGATTTCACAGTTTTTCAATGTTTGTTTTTCTTTGAAAAGTTACCAAGGTGTCTATTTCTAATAATTATGTTTTATTAAGGAGGTTTACAATAATTTTTACAACAAAAAAGGCAATCCATATCTTATTAATTATTTCTTGTAGATAAATAATCGACCTTTATATTTACAAAGTGATTTAATATGTGAATTGACACATAAACTAAATGGACCAATAATAAATGTCAACTGTCAAGAAACTTCAATTACTCAACAACAGTGGTTTCCATTATTTTCTATAAACACCTTAACTCTGAATGTAAATATGCAAATAAATCTTACTGAAGAAACTGAATATAATGGTGAATTTATAAAATGTAAGTTGAACCTTTGTTTATTATTAAACATTATATACTTCCTATACTCTTTTATGATTAATATTTAAATCTGATTTTATCACTCACAACTGGACATTTTTTCCCGGCCTTCATTTAGATTCATTGAGATGATATAACGATAAAAATGATTAATAGTGGTATCAGACAAACATATATGATGCTCTTATTGATTTAAATAAACATTTTCAAGAAGATAATTGAATGAGTGATTTTTAGAGTTTCCAATGTATAACTTTAATTTCAAATGAATTATTCACTCAGGAGTGCGCATTCACGACCCCACTCGTGAGATTCGAACCCAGGACCTTCAGTCTCGCGCGCGAACGCTTAAACTACCGGACCACTGAGCCGGTATCCAATGGTGTTAGTGTTTAACATTAACCTATACTGATAATTAACATGTGCTCACCAGTGACCAGATTTGTAAGGAAATTCTCGAAGTTCTAGTGAGAAGCCGTGACCAGTGGAGCAAATCTGTGTCGGGTGGAGAAAGATAGTAGCTCGATTTCATTGATTGGTTGATGTTAGATACTAACACCACTGGATGTCGGCTCAGTGATCCAGTTGGTTAAGCATTCGCACGCGAGACTGAAGGTCCTGTGTTCGAATCCCTCGAGCGAGATCGTGGATGCGCATTGCTGAGGAGTCCCATAGTAGAACGAAACAGTCGTTCAGTGCTTCCAGGTTTCCAACGTTGGTCTAACATCAGTCGGTTCATGATCTTAATCAAAAACAGGAAATTTAATTAATAAGAAAATGTGTCTAAATTTGATGGAATAGTTTCACAATATTTGGGCGCCAAGTTGATGTGAAACATGAAAAAGAAAGAAAGAATTACGAGGTACAACGTTAGATTTACTTCGAATTCATTCGCTAAGATTTTACAAATATGTTCTTCCTTTTTAATATCTTAAAGGTAGTTTACTTTCGTTTCTACAGAAATTGTAAATGAAGATTTTAATCGAAAGGTTTGTTGCTTGGTGAAATTGATAATTAAAAGTACTTTTTTTGTTTTAGCTCAGTAAAATATTTTATCATGAATGTTCTTTTCCTAAAGCATAACTATTTATAGGAACAGAGTGGAAAAAAAACTATTTCTCTAGAAATAAACGAAGACGGACTCTGTAGTGATAAGTGTAGGTTAGTTGAAGCATTTACCATTTAGTTCCTTGTATTCAATGATCCTGAATTAATTAGAAAGAAATCGGAATATGTATGGATTCTGTGACAAAATCTGTAATAAATTCTCTTAAAAGAATCTAAAGTATGGATATACTCATTATTTTGTTATTCCTTTGCATTTCAGTTGTATCAAGGACATATTAGTATTTCGTGTTGTCTATAATATATGGATGACCTTTGAGTGAAGCCACAGTGACTTTGGGAGTGTCCACCTAATTATGATATACGGTTGATGGTTAAGGTTAGGAATTACATTTAGGATTTTCATCATGAAATGACATCAATTATAATTCTAAAACTCTATTTAGCCAAATGGATAAGTGAATTTCACCCCAAAATCCGAGACGTGTTATCTTATACCTGATTAGTTCATCCATAAATTATAGTCTCGCCAATTTTCTTAAAACTATATTTCAAGTGAATAAACAACGGTGAAAAACATTTTTAGGTGATTGCTTGCAGTGACAGGATGTCTGAAGTGAGACTTTATTTGTTTTATCAGAGACTATTGTATTCATATGATAGATATCAATCGGTTAATATGTTGTAACCAGTGTCGTCTTGATAAGTTCTCAGTGTTGGTTGAATCTATCAATTTAATACTTTTTATGTATAGAGATCCTAATCAATATAATATGTTTATTCAGGGATTCATGGAAATTTCCTTCAATAACCAGAAATAAAATAAAATAAAAATGATTTCAATAGTTTAGATCATGAATCAATTGAATCTAGACCACCATGGAAAACCTGGAAACACTGGAAACACTGGACTGCCGTTTCTTCATATTGCGAGACTCAGCAGTACGCATCCACGATCCCGCATCGCCAGATTCGAAATCTCCACAAAACCTCTTCCGACAAAAAATGTTTTACAAATAATTTATTTCATGTGAAATTTTTAGAATTTGTTTTCATAGACATGCTTTTTTGTTGTTGCTATGAAAAGTTATTTTTCAACAAAAAAAAATCGGTTAAACATTTTTAATTCCATTTGAAGTAATAAGAATGTAGATAATGATAAAAATATTTCTAATGAAAATGAACATGAAATGAACAAACAAAACATTTTTTCATAATGTTAACATAAATAAAATGTTTTTGTAGAATTGACATATTCATGCGGTATTATATTTATCAATACTTGTTGAAAATGAAAATTATGATATTGTTATCTGAAGTAATTAATTCCCATTGATAAATTTCGATAGTGTAATAAGATGACGAAGATTATCACAATTATGTGTTAGATTAGCGCAATATATTTCTAACAATCTGATCACACGTAAAATACTTGTTAGGAACATTTATATATAAAAATAAAAGGACAACTAGACTAGAAATGGGTGGGAATTAAGGGGAGACAAGGTCTAGATGTTAAGTGTTCGTGCGCGAGATCGTGAGGTTTGAATCTGGCGGGCGGGATCGTGGATGCGTAATGATGAGTAGTTCCATACTAGAACGAAACGGTCAAGGAAGTTTCAAAGTAAGAATAAACTATTTTCGAATACACAAAGTGGGTTTGATTTCCGTATGGATAAGGCTTTAATGAATTTTAGTATACCCCCTTTTACACTTTTGTACAACATCACAAAAGTCGAGTTAAGATCGATTTTATGGCCTGTTTCGATTATATGTTTAGCAATAGATGATGGCTGTTTATCCTGTACTCTTATTGGGTCATTTTATTTAATTTGTTTCTGAAACCATTTAGGTACATGTTTACATACCCTAATTTCGAGATCACGATTACTTCTCCCTATATTGACCTTTTATTTTTATATATAAATGTTCTTAACATGTATATTACGTGTCATCAGATTTTTCGAAATTTATTTCACTATTATATCATATAGTTCTGATAATCTTCGTTTTCTTATTACAATATCGAAATAATGTTATTTAGTTAACTCTTGTTAACCGAGTTGTAGATTGCATAGTGAGCATTTATCAAAAAGAAGATGTTATAAGTAGATATCAGAATTTATTTTATTTCCTTCAATATTTCAATTATGAATACTTTCAGATTTTTTGTCAGTTTAGGTAATTATTATGTCAGATATTGATTAGACAACGAATAATTACAAATATACATTATATATACGAATATTTGTCAATATTTGAACGCATAGTTTGACAGCACATTTTTAAAAATTCAAAAATAGTTGCTTGAATTATTCGGTTACTAATAAGTAAACAACATGAAGTTACCATATTGTAATTATAGATCAAATTATGTCTACCATATTTATTATTTTGTCATTTGTTTGATTAACGCGTTATACTGTGGTACGTCTTGTTAACAAGTGTCAGTATTACTTCCCTAGACAATGTTATTCACTTTCAGGAAACATTATTGCTCTTTTAAATACAGAATACATTAGATGATATATAACAATAAAGTCTCCTGTGAATCGATTTCAGTTATCTAAAACATAATTAGCCTGAAACTAGAAGTCATCAAGTTGTTGACTCCAACATATTTGTTTTAACAACGTTTGATAATAGTTGCTTTATTGATTTTATTTGGCTCAGTGACCTTTAGAATAAAGCGGTAAAATGTTGCATAAATTTTCGGATTTAAGGAAACTAACTGTAATCCATAGTAATTTTTATTTATGTTATAGCATGAAATAATTTTTTCAAATATTTTCAAGAGTTTCGATAGTGTAATAAGAAGACAAATATTATCAGGACCTACCCTCGTAATATTAACTTATTATCCATGGTGATGAAGTTTCACGTTCTTTTCACATTATGCTCTTTATTATCCTTATCTCCTCTTACCCCTCACCTATTTCTAGTCTAGTTGTCCTTATATTTTTATATATAAATGTTCCTAACAAGTATATTACGTGTGATCAGATTGTTAGAAATATATTGCGCTAATCTAACACATAATTGTGATAATCTTCGTCATCTTATTACACTATCGAAATTTATCAATCGGACTTAATTGCTTTAAATTTCCAAGAGTTTTTTTATCTTTATGAAATACTTTATTCACTATAATTATCAATCTTAAATCTATCGGCTCTTATCTATTGTTTGAAATCATGAGTCAATTGAAGTTAGACCACCATGGAAAACCTGGAAGCAGTGAACGGCCGTTTCGTCCTATTGTGGGACTCTTTAGCAGTGCTCATCCACGATCCCGCCTCGCCAGATTTGAATACAGGACTTATTAGTCTCGCGCGCGAGCGCTTAACCTACTGGACCACTGATCTGGCATCCAACTGTGTTAATGTCTAACTTCAACCAATCCACGAAACTAACTGTCTTTGTAAAAGTATAAACTTTACACTATTTATTAATTTACATTTCTTTTTTGGTGGACATTGGTTTTTGAAAAAAATCTACCTTCAAAACATGATGTTATACAAGTGACTATTTGGTTTACTTTAGTTAATTATCTAGATGTTTTTACAAAAATATTATTACCCAATAATTGTACGGAAAAAATCTTAACCATCACATCATATTTAATTTGTTCATAAGTAGTTCATTATATAGAAAATTGCCTAAATGCATTTGGATTGATTGTTTGTCTAATGGAAAAATCACAAAAACTAATTATTCACAATAGATTGTTGTTTTAATATTAATATTCTTATGTTTTTGATTGAGATCATGAACCGATTGATGTTCAACCACCTGAAATCACTGGACAACCATTTCGTCCTATTGTGGTACTCCCCTGGCAATGCACATCCACGATCCCGCGAGTGGGGTTCTTATGCATTTGTTTTATCTTGGTTTTGAAACAAGCAAAAAGTATATTATTAGTAATTGTATAATGATGAAAATTTGTGGTTCACACTAACAATGTCCCATTTATTTAATCAAAGTTACATAATATTATAGACTTCTAGAAATAGAACATATTTACGCAGTTATGATAACATTGTATGTAGTTGAATTTCATACTGATATTTAGTCGTATATCAATTTATTCATATAATAAGTTCTTTGTTTTTCAATCAACAATAGACAATAAAATTATAAGTAGACGTTAACAAAATGTCTAGTTCATTTCTTTCTTCTTCATGTTGGTTTTTGTTGTTGTTGTTGTTGTTGCTTAATTCATGCATTCAATTAAAGACAAAGAAAAAAAACCACCATCTCAATCATAGTTTATTTATTAGCATTTTTCTTGCATTATATACGTCAGAGCACCAATTTTGTTTTAGAAATTTCTCAAAAAAAGACAAACAATCCTTGTATGCAATAAAAATGTATGTAACAAGCTTAGATCTTTTCAATATCCCTAAGAAACTAAATTTACATGAGTATATTCCATGTAATATATCAAATACAAATACGCTTATATATATATATATATGTATATATATATATATATATATGTATATATATATATATATAATTCGCTAAGTGAGCAGTAAAGATATACTTTGCTGAAGACTATCGTGTACTCGTTAGAAGACTTTGAAAGGTGAAATCAATTTTTACCTGGTCAGAATGTAGGTTATAGAAATAAATAATTAATGTTAGAATTTTGAATGATGACTTAGGGTTGGGAGTTAAGGTTTAATGCAAGAGTTTTGGTAAGAGTGTAAAAATACATTGTAACTGTTCAAAAAGAGTACTTAATCGCACGACTAATTATACTTAGGAATATATAAGTGAACTTTAAGTGATGCTAAAGATATTAAGAGAATACATGCTGATGTTTTGAATGAAGTAAAGATGTTGTTGCACGCTTCAGTTTTCATAATGTGGGTTATTTTACAAAATTTGGTTATTGATTTGAAATATTTGAAGCTTCTAGGATAATTTGAAATACATGTCTCTGATTCTCGAGTGTTTGCATGTTTATGAATTTCAGGTATTTTTGTAACTATGTATTTGTAGGTGTTACTTAAAGTTTAGTAAAACGTAACCTATCCATCAGTGTTTGTTTGTTCTAGGAGAAACTCATGAACAGCTATCTTATTTTTTAATTGGTCTATCAGTTGAATATTGAACTAATCTTTTTCTACATAAGTGAATTTATTCTAAATGTATAATAATCTTTCTAAAAAACGTGTCGCACAATTTATGTATCATTTGAATTGTTTTTCATTGTACTGTATTTCGACAATTTAAACGAAATATAAACCCATTATTACTTGATTATTTCACACTTTAACATATTATTGTTAAATATTTGTAGTAAATTTCACTTTACCTACTTAAATCGTAAAAATGAAATTAGACATGCAATTCAAAAGTTTCCTTTGAAAGCAAAATTGTAGTGTCGGTTACTATGTTAAGCCCATGTAACTTATTCTAGCTTCTGGACAGGCCAATCTATTTATTCTTCTTGATTAACGTTTCGACCTTGTTAATTATTCATTTATCAACCCTGACTCTTTTTATATGTGCGCATATGTGTGTGTACATTTTATCCTACTCATCATATATCTGTAGCTTATTTTCGTGTGACTATAAGTATTGATTAACACTCGGTTGACTTGGCTCACATGCCATCTCCACCGCACGTCATTTCATTTAGCTCTTTTCTCTTTGGTTCATTCGCTTCGTTCCTCTAATTGTCTGTCCAGATCAATGAGTGTACAAAATATACGTACTCAAGACTTCATTCTTGTATTGGGCTTATTTAATTCCGTCATACACTAAAGCGGAATAAGTCGATAATAATACATACGAGAATTGGCGACATATGCATTTCGATAGCAGTCAGAAACGATCAAAGTGTAGTCAGATAATGGATCACTAAAAAAAAAACGAAGTTTTATGACTTTGTAAATTAATTGAAATTACTGTTGAGAAATTTCGAATCAGTAAACAATTATTTGTTTTTCAGTGATTTTAAGTAGTGATGTGGTGTGAGATACATATATCCATATAAGTAGTATATAACGGTTGTCAGGCATAGACTGTATTTCAGCAGAAGATCGATAAGGTAAGAACAAAAACGGGACGCGATTTGTATGAAAAGTCATGAACAATGAAATCTGAGACAAAGGACTGATATTTGCAAAGGAACAGTGAAGTTTGAGACGGTTGATTGACATTTTGCAAATTAACTATTTACTATATGGTTCTGAGATTTTAATGAGATGTTCTGTAATTTTGTGCTGAAATATATTTGGTGGTCACCCCTCGTGTTCTTGTTCAATAAAATAACACATGATTTTCAAACTTGAAATAATTCAAATCGAGAACATTTCGCAGAAATATCTTGATAGTCAACATCTATGGAATTCAATGCTACGACGAAATAATTGTCCAAGATCTCTTTTTGTTTTTGAAAAACTAACAGAGATCAATTACTGTTAGATATCACTTGCAAACTTGCAAATATTTTATTTTCCCAATAACTAATACTTAAAATATCAATTATAGAAAATAATATCAATTAAAACATGGTGTTACTGTTTTCGACTGTATTCTTTTTGCTACATTGATGTAAAAAGTTGGGCTGAATAAACGTAGGAGAAGTTAAAAGTCTATTCATACATTAATGATTAATATCGACACAAAAGGTTGTATCCATTATTTCTAACGATGAAAAAACAAGAGTAGATTTTAGTATTGAAAAAAGTAAATATATTAATAATATATTCAGCTATTGTTAAAACGTATCAAACTAATTCTCATGAACGAAGTTTTATATCATAGAATTCCATTAGATTGAAAAGCCAGATTCTGTTATTGTTCATCTTTATTATATATAAAAGTAATAGATTATCAAAAGATCAGAATAAACTTCAAATTACTATATTACTAATAAACATAATTTAAAACATTCACTTCTCATAAAAGTAAAAATACAAACAACTTAAATGGATCAATAGCGAAGTATACAATTACAAGTCTATACAATTAGAAAAGTTTAATATATTACGATCATGTATACATATATATATACCATAATCTGCCTTCTCAGCATGAAATTACTTTGTGGAATTCTATGACATCTAGAACTCAAAACAACTGTCAACCAACATCAATGTCTTGACAGTTCTATTGTATCGGACAGAAATTTGGCGAACTACGAAAGCAATCATCCAGAGGATACAAGTGTTTATTACCAGTTGTCTACGCAAAATAATTCGGATCCGTTAGCCAGACACTATTAGCAACAACCTACTGTGAGAGAGAACAAACCAGATCCCAGCGGAGGAAGAAATCAGGAAGAAGCGATGGAAGTAGACAGGATACACATTAAGGAAAGCATCTAACTGCGTCACAAGACAAGCCCTCACATGGAATCCTCAAGGCCAAAGGAGGAGAAGAAGACCAAACAACATAATACACCGAGAAATGGAGACAGACATGAGAAGAATAAACAACAATTGGATAGAACTAGAAAAGAAGGCCCAGGACAGAGTAGGTTGGAGAATACTAGTCGGTGGCCTATGCTTCACTAGGGGTCACAGGCGTAAGTAAGTACATTTAGAAAAAAGACTAAAATCACTAGTTACAGCGAAAATGAAATACATATTTTTTCAATCAATTTTGTTGTAGAATACATCAGTTTTTAAAAGTGAGGAATCGTTTAAAGGTAGGCTTAATAAACCTAGTGTTTCAGTGGTTTATAAATAAAGTAAATTATAAGAGTATTGTTTGTGAGATACTTTTCCCACAACTTATTAAAATAATTGATAATATAATTATATTTTGACGAAATCAACTTTTTTTATGTGAATCTTTTTATTATTTATAATAGATTCGTTTATTCAAATAGTTTCGTAAAATCCTAATCAGTGTTATACCTAATTTATAAAGATGGAGTTATAAAGTAAATGTGATAAACTTAAATAATGGGTAACAGGGGAATCCAAAACAGCTTTTGCTCCTTGTTTTAAGATTGTCAGCTGAATGTACTCGAGTCTCAGTATCGATATTCATATTAAAACTTGATATCAATATCTTTCTTTTCAAAGTAATGCAGGACATATCCAAAGATTCACTGGCTTATACAACGTAGTGAATTCTAATTTATTTTAAATCGTTATTTGAACCTTGTCGATAATATTATAAACAGCAGTTAATCATTCTCTTTTGACATATGTACATCATGTGAGGATTGTGATGGTATTGCTGATCCCTCCCAAGTGTGACTGCATCTGTCAATATCGAGGAAACATGCTAATATTGTTTATATTCCTAAAGGAGACTGATCGTTTACAGTTTTAATTATTAACAGGAAGATTCAAACAACAACAAAATTAAGGTGAACATTTGACACTTTAGATGAAGGATTATTACTGAATACGACTGAAATGATATCCGAAGCAATAAAAACATAGAGACTACCAGTACATTTGTATTTAAAAAATTCTTTAAAAAACTCAGATCAAAGATCTTAAGATCCTAATTTCGAACAATTGATCACTTCTAAACAAATGAGACTTTATTTGGTCATCGGTTTATACCTTAATTTTTTAGTTGATGGAATATCCGAAACGGATTTTGAAGTACCCGATAAAAATCACACATTATTGGTTAATAATTTACTTATAGAAAATAATATCACAAATCATAATTATATTAATATGATAATGAACACACCTGACAAATTTAGTTATTTTATTGAACAATTAAAGTGTTTAACTTATGAACAATGGAAAATAGTATACAATTCATGGGAAGAAAGTATTCGAACAAGAGAAATTAGGTGAGTACATTTCTTTGTTAATACAAATAAATGAATATTTAAATGTAAAAGTTCTTATTCAGACATTTGATAAAACAAACAAAAAACGAAGAAATATTTAATATCAAAAGAGGGTTATTGTGGATATTATAGCAATCTCAAGAGTTGAGATCATGAATCAATTAAAGATACACAACATGGGAAACCTGGAAGCACTGGACGACCATGTCGTCCTAGTATGAGATTCCTCAGCAGTGCGCATTCACGAACCCGCCCCGCCAGATTCTAACAAAGGACCTGCCGTTATCGCGAGCGAACGCTTAACCTCTAGACCACTGAGCCGGCCCGCATCCAACGGTGTCAATTTCTAACTTCAACTAATTCACAAAACTGAGCGACACATTCACCATTGTCATCAGTGAGTTACTATCTCAGAACAGACCCGGTTGAACTCCACTAGTCACTGCTTTTCACTAGAACTCCAGGAAATAACTCTTGAAGCCATTCATTAGTGAGCATATGCGGATTAGTATCAGAAGGGGTTTTGTGGAGATCTTAGTAATTTCAATAGTTGAGATCATGAGTCAATTGAAGCTGGACCATCATGGAAGGACTGAACGGTCGTTTTGTCCTATTGTGGGACTCCTCAGCAGCGCGAATCCACGACTCCGCCTCATGGGATTCGAACCCAAGACCTACTGGTCTAACTTCAGTAGACTCAAGAACTTCGGTCACGACCACTAGACCTCTGCGCCGCATCCAACTATGTTAATTTCTTACTTTGACCTTTTCAAGAAATATTTGTTTTCAATTTTTTTTATTACAGCTTTGTATGAATATTATTTTGTCCTTGTTTTTTTTTGTTTCGTGACAAATATGTATCACATATCTTAATTTAGTACTTGCCGATTACTTTAGTTAACAGATTGTCATATTTATTTGTGCCTGTTCATATGTTATGGTTCTTTCAATACACATTATATTTCTTAGGTCTTTACAATTGACCTGGTTACGTGCTACTACTATGATGATAATAAAATCGTTAAGAAAACATACACTGTAGCGCTTAGTTGTCTTGTCACAAAATATTAACTAACACGTGGATTACAAACAAGGATAACACATATCAATGTTACCTAATTGGAATAAAACTAAGTGATAAGGTGACGTTAATGTTATGAAGTATATTAATAAATGAAAAATCCACTAAAGACAGTACTATACACCAATGAACACCAGTTTAACGACCACAAAAAAAGCATAGGAATGAATAAATTATGTATGGTCATTAACAAAATAGGTTTTACAATTTACATTAACAACAGAGTTACAAGAATCATGGCACACATTTTCTATTACATACAATGATCAATATATATTACACATATAATACAAGAACTTTAACTGTCAAACTTTTCTTCAGAAATTTAAAATCGTTGTTCTAACAAGAACATCAACTAAATGAAACTTTAGAAACTAAAAATTCACTTTTAAGACAATTAGATTTGAATATTTCTAGTTTAGTTCAACTGTAAGATACATCAGTGATTGGTATAAGTATTGAAGCTTATAGTTTGTTTATAAACGTGATAGTCAGAATGAAGTTGTATATGACTAACTGAAGAATGTCGAGATTTCTGATCTATTATAATCTCTGAAATTTATTTTGAGACAATAATTTTATTTCATTTGATATATTTAGTAACTACAAAGTATATGTTGTTAGTGAAATTTTAATATTGCATTATTATTATTAGTAGTAGTAGTATTAGTGTTAGTATTAACATTAGTATTAAACCATGGAAACATATATCGTTTAGACTGATCATTTTCAAAATATATTGATAAACTGATGGATTAATCTATTTTATTCACTAGATAATAGTGTTTCAGTGATAAAGTAATCAAGATAAACGACTATTAATTTCGTAATAATAATATGCTCAAACCATTCTTGTTTATCAATATTTTTTTGTATTTTACTTCTCTTTGAACCGTAATTCATGAGACTGTTCAAATACAAAACTTGTTAGAAGAAAATACTTTATATTCTACATGGGTACAGAATACAGTGTCGATATATTTTTATTTATGTGAATTCTGGTTTATTTTACAGATATTTTCTTGAAAATGTTATGTTGGAGGTTCAAACTGAATCATCGATAATCTTTATCATAAATCATTTTATTGTTAACGCAAAAAATGAATATAAACAACTTAAATGGATTAACTATCTTAGTATAGTAAAGAAACCATCCATTGAGTTCATGAAAGAGATCAAGGTAAATTTTACTTGTTTGTTAATTCTAAATTAAACTATATTAAAATAGTCAGTACAAATACTTTTAAACATCAAACACATTTCAGTTATCATAATCATACTGGAAGATCTCTGTGTGTTATGGTTAAAATGATGCATTGATAATCCGTTCTCAAATTATTATGCTTAATTATAGTAACTGAATAAGTATTGGCTACTGAATTCGAACCCAGGACCTACCAATGTCGTTCTAGGCGCTTAACCAACTAGACCACTGAGCCACGCAACAAACGGTGTTAATATCTAACTTCAACTAATTTACGAAATTGAGCGACACATCCACCATTGTCATCAAAAAGTTACTATCTCAAATTAGTTAGGGTTGCTAGGGACGGTGTAAGTGTAATGTAACAAAGGTAGAGAGGTTCACTTAGCGGATTCATCAATAAAAACTATCGGACCTTTGAAGTTCGTTTAATCTCACTTGTGGAATAGAATATACTTACAAGTTCAAGCACATTTAATTTATTACGATATTTAACTGGTACAAATATTTCATTAGGCTTTCTTAACCTGTAAGTTTTCGGAGTTGTACAGGAATCTAAACAGGAGTTAGTGATCAGATAGAATGTGTGAATGGCATTCACTAGACTATTAATTGGGGATGAGGAATCCCACTTTGAAACTTTCACCAGGCAGTTTAATGGTCCTAGGTAGCATGGTTATAGTCTCTATGTTGACTGGTTTATTGAATGGGATGGTTATAAGAGGGACAGATACAGAGGGCACCAATTACTAGTTTATAGACAAAGCCTTCAATTTCATTACATTCATGTATAGATAGTGGCATGATAACTCTAAAAAATATTAAATCACTTGTGTTATCATGCATTTTCGGGTTGCGAACTTACTGTTACTAGGAGTGCACGTTAATTGTTGGTAAGAACTCACCATTACATGACTGACAACTACTGGTATTTCAATGTAACTGAAATCTTCTTTATTAACCTCAGCATTGAAGTTTAGATCAGCTGCATGTATAAAGGCATTAACATTAAGATCATTCACATTGTCCAAAGTATCCGTGACTCTGTATGTACATCCCAGGAGAAGATTATGATTTGGAGTGTTGACTGATATTTGGACCGATTCAAATAAACTTTCCAAGACACCATTATCAACCTTACTAGTTGTCGGGGAATCCAACGCATATATAAGACAGCCACCCAAAAGTTTAATTTCTCTATTACAGAGATAGAACTAGTAGTTCTGGATATTTAATTCCGAATCAAACATTGAGGGAGAGCACCACGTTTCAGTGACAAGTATGAAAAAAGGTTTGGATCGTAAAGCTAAGGTTCATAAGGCTGAAATCTTATTTATGAGTGAACGGTAACTGATAAGCAATTAGTTTAAAAAGGAAATATGGAGTGTAAACAACGAGAACTTTGTTATCGATGTTATGTATTTTAGAGGTGACTGAACTATAGTTTAGTATGTGTGTTTGATCGTATGGGTTTGGACTTGAACAACCTGTAGTACAAGAAGGACCAGAGATATCTAAATGTTAGTCACTATTTAGGTAACGTGAACATATTTGCTGAAACTGAGTTAGTGGATAGTTAAGAACGTTACCTGCCTGTTGATGTTGAGTTAATGGTACGTAACCTAGTAGTCCATCTTGTCCATCGGAAAAGTGATAAGAAGTTATATTTTGCGAATTCAATTTATAAAAAGTTTGGGTACAACCGTCTGACACTTTGTTCCTTGCATTTTGTCCAAATACTAGGTTTAGCTGCATGAAGACTGAGGTGGGCGTTTCGTGTGTCAGCTGTTAAATATATATTTTGTTGATTTAGAAAGTAGGATTTTGACAAGTCACCTTCTACTAAAAGGTAGTTAGAAGTCAATTCATTTGTATAATAATGCGTAAATACTCTAAGCAATACTAGTATTGATGTTGTTAAACAGAACTATTCGAGGTTTTGTAGTGAATAGGCGTGTTACGTAATTGTGGAGTGGACATTTTGATATTATCATCGAGTACATGCCATCAGAATTGTCAATAGCCAATTTGGCTACTGTAGGACTATAAAATGCGCGGAAAACTATTAAAGAAAGATGATTTTAAGTATTTTAATATGTTGGTGATACAAATATGCAACATTGTCAAAGTTTCCTAGATTAGGATTTATCTATTTTTGTAATAACTGATGTAACCTAAGGCGGTGTACTGAAATTAATACTACGCATTAATAAGGTAACGTTGGGTATATCAATGAAGAGTCTAACACACTATAAAAAACTGGAAATATTTAAAAATTCGACGATATCTAGCCGTTACTTTCAGATAGTAAGCACGTATTCAGTACCAAAACACCAAGTAGAATGTCATTCATATTCAGTAAAAACCGTTTGCTACAGCGCATATGCACACATTTATCATTTTCTTAATACCAAACAATTAGTTTCTTGGATCTATTCTCAAAGCTTATTTATATAACTAAATTTCTGTGTGCTCATTGAACTACGCAACTTCTTGAGCCAATAATTTTATTAAAACACAGACTGATTTGTTATACAGGGTAAACGTGTGTCAACGGTAATCATAACCACACAATACGATTTCAACTTGTATTTAATATTATTTGATTCCGATGGAAGTAAACCCTAGTCTTTCCGTATGTAACTATATATATTTGTTGATTACATGTAACCTCTATTCATCTTACCTTATTGTACTTCTATAAATAATTAACAATTAAATATTTATTTCGATAATACTTTTATACATCAATATAATTCAGGATGACTATTGAATTCATTTCATATATCTTTTGTTCTTAGAGCTTGTTAACAGATGATTTATACAATCATACAGTTTATTATGTCAGTTTAAGTATAAAGCGTTTTGTGAAAATCATCCATCATGTATGAAATCTCAAATAATCAAAGAAATGGTAGACATTATTGAAAATGTAGTTGATTTAGAAGACAACATAAAGGTAATCATTTAAAATGCCATTAATCTCTCATGCAATATTACTGTACTATGATTTGTTGGGACTTTTATTATATTTTCTTTTCTTCTGTTCATGTTTTCAATATGTTTTTGATCTTGATGTAAATTTTATACCCGTCACTCAATTAAACCTTTGAAAAAATCCTTAGTTGTTGATTAACAAATCGATCATCTTAGTAGTTGAACTAATGAGTCGATCTAAGTTGGACTACGATGGAAAACATGGAAGCAGTCGACTGCAGTTTCGTCCAAGTATGGGACTTCTCAACAGTGCGCATCCGTGATCGCGCACACCAAACTGGAACTAAGGACCTTCGGTATCGCTAGCGAATACTTAACATCTAGACCGCTGAGTCGGCATCCAATGGTATCAATGTCTAGCTTCAGTCGATCCATGGTCTTATGCAACCCTTCGTCCATTAACTGAAGTGGATAACTGTCACCACATGACACGGATTTAACTAGCTTCAAAATGAATTTACTAGAGTTTTGGTGAGAAGTAGTGACCGATGTGGTTATAGCAATTCGGTTTTCAATAAATATGATCGACATACTACTTTTTGCTTTGGTAATGATCACCACAATCTTCACGAATCCCCATTCTAATGAAATTAATTATCATTTATTTCTATTGTCAATGTAAATTAACAATAAATATTGCTATTATTGGCTTTAATCAATATTGTATTTTCGGTACAATATATAATTATCAGCGCAAAGTATTCCAACACGTTTCCTTAGTTCTTGGTCGGCCCTTACAAGTGGTCACCAGTTACATGTTAGCAGTTCAGGAATCGACATCTGAATAATGTATATTTATTTCGATGCATATTGTCAGCAACCACAATATCTTTAATTGGGCTGTTATGTAAATTGTACAGTGAAATGTCGTCAACTTTTCACAGACACTCTTGAATAGTTTATGGGACTAAATTGCATAAAGATGTGTTAAAACAAACAAGAAAAACAGATAACTTGTTGAAATTTTCTGGTGGTAGGAATAGGTAGCCTAGATATTCAAGCAGGCCGCCAATAATGTTAGTAACTAACGTTATTGAATATAGAATATTCCTAAGGTTCATGTTTTCACATAGCTATAAACCATTCTGTCCATCAGCATGGTCATATTCAACTTATTCAACGATTTCATTCTTCATTATCATTTATAATTATGTATTGTTAAGAAAAAAAAGAAGTATAAAATTTATCGAAGTTATTCATCAAAACACAAACATCATAACATTCATAATGTAAAAACATTCATATCACCTATTAATTACCAAAATACTTAATAAGTATACTGCTATTAATCATAAGTTTTTGTTGTTTTAGTTTTCAATTATAAAAAAAGTTGATAACATCTTTAGAGGAAGGAAATTTTATTTCATGTTTGTTTTAATTAGCTATTTAAAGAGGAGGAAAAAAAATAATGTTTAATCATGTTACATGTTGAAGAGGGTTAATTAGTTCCGAAATCAGATTATTATCTATACAATACATGTGAATTATCCTTAATAAATGACATTCTAACATTGACTGTTATTTAGTTTTGTTTATGCAGTAAAAAGAACAACAACAACAAAACATTATGACAGGAAATGAATTCTTATCATTTCATACCCTTTATATCTTCAAAATACATACTAGTTTTTATTTCTATAAACAAGATTATTTTAAGAGTATAATTTAGTGTAACACTTTTTTTTAAAAAAAATCATTTTTACATATAATCACCTAGGCAACAACAATATTTTACATATTTTTTTGTGTGATTTTCATTTAATTCGTATTGGATTAATATTTAGTTAATCTATGTGTGATTATTATTCGACATTTGAAATGTTTAACTAAATTTTGTTAAACTTGTTAATGACGTAATAATAAATTAGTGATTTAATATATACTATTCTATGTAAAATAAGCATAAATGTAATTATATAATTTTAAGAAATAATATCGAAAAGAAAACTTTACTCCTTTTGATTTTTTGTGATGACGTAATAAGTTTAAAAATTTTTATCAGATAAAATCTTTATTGTTTTATATGAACGAGAATAAATAGATGATAAACGTTGGAAATTGTTTATACTCCTGGAGTTCTAGTGAGAAGCAGTGACCAGTGGAGTTCAACCAGGTCTTTTGTGACATCCGTTGGATGTTGGCTCAGTAGTCTAGTTGGTTAAGCGCCTGGCGCGAGAATGATAGGTCCTGGGTTCTAATCTCGCGAGGTGCGGAATCGTGGATGCGCACTGCTGAGGAGTGCCATACTAGGACGAAACGTCCGTCCAGTGCTCCCAGGTTTTCCATGGTGGTCTAGCTTCAAATGACTCATGATTCCAACCAGTGAACTTTCTAAAATCTCCACAAAACCCCCTCTGATAATTAATTATAAACTAATATTATATGACTATTACGTAATTATATTATATGTATATTCATATTCCTTTTATTATAAGCTTCTATTGGACCGATTGAATATTATCATACGAGTTACTGTTTTCGAGATATTCCCAATTTATTAATCACGATCTCCTACGATCATAGACACTTTTGGTTAGATTTTGTACATGTTATTTTCTATATTATGATGTGATGTGGTCTGATTTGTTCGTATATAAACTCATTATGTTTGAAATATGTGATTCATATCACGAAGTCGGAGATTGGTGTTCTGGATTTAAGAGGAAAAAACATCAATCGGAACTTTATACTACTCGTAATGGTGTATACATCATTAGTTTGGTCGTGTTAATCGTATAAGCTAAGAACGAAATATTTATCTTTTCAATGACATTACAATTGGCACTACAGATAAAGATAATTTGAGATGGTTAGAGGAAGTTTATAAATTAAAACTTCACTCGATTATCAGAATTTGTGTGTAGTATGGGATAATTAGTTTAAAAATAATCACAAGGCAACTATTTGTACAAATCATTTCAGTTTGTATTGTTTAAAGGCTACTATGGTTAAAGGTAACTTAATAATTGTATGAAATTAAAAGTTCCTTTACATTAATCTCTGAGATTTATGTGTGTTCTTTTAAATTGACTATCACTTTAAACATAGTTAAATTTTCAATTAGCGAAATTCCGAAATAACAAAAAGTAGTAAAAGCAATAAAGTTTCCTTATTTGACCTAAAAAAAATAGAGAAGTTTTACTAGGTTTTAATGAGTAATTTGGATTGAGAAAAACTATGATTACAGTAAATTAGTTACAAAGTATTTTAACATTTGAAAAGGTTTCATTAATAAAATAATGGTGGAATTTTCTAAGTAATATGTTATGTAATTACCGAATTTGACCATTTATTTTTCCATTCATTAGGTCTCATTTTTAAAATTTATTTACATAGTGGATAGTTTTTTCATATATGAACTAAAGATTTATTCGTAACAATAATCCCATACATCAAGCTAAGGTATACTGACATGTTCATAGAAGTTAATTGTTGATAACCGTAGATGTAATGAAGAATTTGTTGAAAATTACACACTAATAATATAACATTAAATGAAGGAGAAAATGGTTGAAGATGCTATATTTAATGAAGTACATGAACATAGAAAACATAATGAATGACCTCAACTTTCAGATATTAAATCTGATAACTAATTACTTATTTCTTTTTCTTCCTCCTTTCACTGCTAAAAGTTATTACTACCATTTATAATGAAAGGTTAACTGACCTAAAAAATAAGTCAGGTATACATACCATACATTCTAGATATTTCAACATTTACAAACACTGAAATTATTTTATTAATAAATGTACGATCATATCGTGTTTTCTAGAAAAAATGCATTTAGATTTAAACTTTACAATGACTGTTGATTAGTAAATTTAATTTATATCATAAAAACATGATGACAATATCTTTAAATGAATATTTTTCTCTCATTTAACTGCAAAAAATTTTTTATCAGAAAAGGGTTTTGTGGATATTATCGTAATTTAGAGATATACTTCATGGGTCACTTGAAGTTAGACCTCGAAGCACTAAATAGCCTTTTCGTCCTAATGTGGGACTCCTCAACAATGCGCATTAACAATCCTGCACACGACATTCGAACGTAGGACCTATCGGTCTCGCACGCGAACGCTTAACAAATAGATCGCTGAGCCAGCATCCAACTGTGTTACTGTTTAACTCCAACCAATCCACGAAATTGAGTCACCATCCAGCTATTGCCTTCAGCGAATTACTATATCATAACAGATACGGCTCAGTGGTCTAGAGATTAAGCGTTTGCGCTCGTGACTGAAAAGTCCTGCGTTCGAATCTCGCTTAGTAGGATCGTGGATGCGAAGTGCTGAGAAGTTCCACATTGAGACGAAACGGATGTCCAATGCTCCCATGTTTTCCATAATGGTCTAGCTTCAATTGACTCATGAACTTAACAAGAACTTTTACAGATAAATTTTTATTTTATTCTTTGATTATTTTTCATTACCAATATAGTCATTAAAAACCCTCCAGACTGTTGCAAACATTGGTAAAATTTTATCTTCTCAAAAAATCATTTCACTTTTTCAAAAAATTTTAATTGATTATAAAATGGAATATAATGATAATTTACGATTATATTTTGGGCAAATAATTGATCATTTTCGATGTGAACAAAATGTAGATGTAAGTTTATTTTAACTACTAATGTGTTTTTGTTATTGTTAATTTTCTTTACATAATTTTTCTTTCGAATATCTTTTTCTGTTATTCAACATGGTGTTTTCATAAACGAATATTTAATGTTCATTGCATTGATAATAAAAATTTATAATCAGATAGGGGGTTAGTGGATGTTATAGTAATTAATAGTCGAGTTGATGCGTAAATTGAAGTTAGACCACCATGGAAAACCTGGAAGCACTGGATATCCACTTTGTCCCAGTATGTGACTCTTCAGCAATATGTATCCCCTATCCCGCCTCGCCAGATTCGAACACAGGACCTATCAATCTCACGTGCGAGCGTTTACTTTACAATAAGACGAAACGGCCATCCAGTTTTTCCAGGTTTTCCATAGTGGTCTAACGTTATTCGACTAACGAATTCAACTATTAAATTGCTTAGGCTTCAATCCAACCACAACACAACTCAATTATTTATTACTTACTTACGCCTGTTACTCCCAATGGAGCATAGGCCGCCGACCAGCATTCTCCAACCCACTTTGTTCTGGGCCTTCCTTTCTAGTTCTATCCAATTTCTGTTCATTTTTCTCATGTCTATCTCCCTTTCTTGGTGTACTGTGTTCCATGGTCTTTCTATTTTCCTTCACCTTGAGGGTTCCAAGTGAAGGCTTGTCTTGTGACGCAGTTGGGTGCTTTCGCCAATGTGTGTCCTATCCACTTCCATCGCTTCTTCCTGATTTCTTCCTCCGCTGGGATCTGGTTTGTTCTCTCCCAGAGTTGGTTGTTGCTAATAGTGTCTGACCAATAGACCTGAAGTATTTTGCGTAGACAGCTGTTAATTTATATGAAATGTCTTAATAAACAATGAATAAAACCTGCCGTATAGTGTGACATAACTTTTGATAGAATTTATTGCTTTCAATTTATATAAAGTATATTATGTTCAATTGAAATAACTCAACTTCCCATTCGTCAGTCGAAAATAATTAATATTTTAGTTGATGAAAAACTGTGAGCTCATCATAATTCTTGTAAGTGTTTCGTCTTATTATATGATGCACATAGATTCAACATTATTATTATTACTAATATTAGTATTATTATTTTCTATGAAATAATCAGTAAAATATAAATTAAAATAGGGGGTTAGGTTATTTTTGACAAAATAATTTTCTGGAGCGGATTCATTTCTTTTCTCTTGATTAAATAATGCATGAAAATGCAAACAAACTACTCAGTTTTGTTTTAGCTTAAATATCTGTCGTTTTGTTTTCTATTCTTTTCCTCTCTCTTTTTATATGAAAACAAAAATTACCAGAATATTCTATGGAATGTATTTTTAAATACTACTGAATCAAATGAATTAAGGATTACAATTTTTAATTCGTATATTAACTGTTTAACGGATGAAAAAATGAAAAAAATCATGAAAATTTTAAATAAATCTTTAGATATTCAAGTAAGTTTTATAGATTTTGCTGTTTTTTTGTTTGAACTTCTAAATTTTTAAGAAAATTGAAAGAATTTAATTATTGAACTCATGAGTCAATTAAAGGTAGATCATCATTGAAAACCTGGAAGCGCTGGATGAAAGTTTCGTCTTAGTATGGGACTTCTCGGAAGTGTGCACTCACAATCCTGCCCCACCAAATTCGAATAGGGGACCTAACGGTCTTGCGCGCGAAGGCTTAACTTCGAAACCACTGAGCCGATATCCAACGATGTTAATGTCTAAATGCAACCAATCCACGAAACCGCGACATTGTCCACCATTGTTTTCAGTGAATTACTATATCATATCAGACCCAGTCGAACTCCACTGGTCACTGCTTCCCACTAGAACTCCAGGAAATACGTCTTGAAGCTTGTCACAAGTGAGCATATGCTGATTAATATCAGAAGGGTTTTTTGTGGATATTATAGAAATTTAATATTTGAATTCATGAGTCGATTGAAGGTAGGCCACCATGGAAAACCTGGAAGTACTGGACGACGAACTTTTCATACTTGTATAGAACTCCATGGTAGTGCTCATTCAAGATCCCGCCACGCGAGATTCGAATCCAGGATCTATCAGTCCTGAAATATTTTTTTAAAAACTACGTTTGGTTCCCATTTTTAAGTATCTGAAATGAAACTAAAATTATCAGTAATTAACAGAGAATTATTGTTCTGTCCTATAAATTATTGATTAACATTAACATTTACAGTTTTTCTATTGTTGTTCAAAAAAACCTGTTGGTTGAGGCTTTTGAATATAAATCAGTTTTGGCAGTGAAAAAGAAAGAGGAAGTGATGAGATTTGGAAACAGATTACCAGTTTTGTTAACAAGTGTGAACCATATCATTATTGGAAAGTGCTTAATGAAATAAACATTTTTAGAGTTGCTTTTTATATAACATATTAAATGTCAAAGATGTTGTGTAAGCATGAAATTGATATTTAAACACTCGCATATTTTATTATTCGAATATTGGATATTAGTATACATTTAAATGTGACAGACCTTTATAGTTAATTTATGTCCAGTGATTTATACCTGTTACTAATGATTAATTGTGCCTAAAATGTTTTTCATAATTCTTCTGATTGAACGCTAGATTCGGTTCCTTATCTCTTTCAGTAACCTCCAAGCTACACAGTGACTTGAACACGAGAAAAAAAGAGCTAAATATAGGAGAAATGCTTCACTCCAAGTTTTTTTCATTTACAGAGAATCTAAGGATTTAATAGTATTTTTGATGTTCTTGAGTTTCCGGAAAATTTTATAGCACTACTAAATGGAGTAGTAGTATAGGTAATCATCCAATCAGAAACTCGACATTTAATGTTTCATTTTCTAGATGTTCCTGGCAAGACTTCTAGTGAATGCTGATTGGATAAGATGCTTCTCAGCGTTTTTAAAGCCTTTTTGGCCTTTTTCGAGGAGTTTTCTTGATCTCCTTAACAGTTTTTTTATTTCAAAATGTTCACCATCATTCTGATCAGAGACAACACACTAATTTAAAAGCAAATGAATTTCGCAGCTACAAAATAACTAACGTCATTAATTTTAATAATCTGTTAACGTCTAGTCACGACTGTATATTGAAAAGTATGTAGCTGAATTAGTTAACAGACATCTTCTTCAGATCCTAATATAAAGATTTAATTTTGTAACTAGATAAGACTGGGATAAGTAAGGATTTTTTTATGAGTTTTATCAGGCATTTTGATAATTTTAAGGCAGTGACAAGTTCTAGTGAAAAGTCATGACCAGTGGAGCTAATCCGTGTTGGGTAGTGACAGGTATCTACCTCAGTAGAATGAAAGGTGGTCGCACAACTTCGTGGATTGTTTGAAGTTAGACACTCACGCCGTCGGATGTCGGCTCAGTAGTCCAAAGTTTAGGCACTTGGGCACGCGAGTCCAAAGGTCTTGAGTTCGAACCCCGAGTGCGGAATTGTAGATGTGCACTGCTGAGTACTCTCATACTAGGACGAGACGACCATCCAGTGCTCCCAGGTTTTCAATAGTGTTCTAACGTCAATTGGCCTTTGGTCCAAATTAAAAAATTGACTGGGTAATACAGAAGAATAGAAACTGCAATGTGCATTATTGTGACTGCCAACTTGTAGAGGAGTAGTTTTAAAGGTTATTCTTAATCTATTTTTCACTCTTAAATAGTGTGGCAACTGGATATAATAAATGAAGTTGAAATAGATTATTATTATCAATTTGTTAAACTACGGATTGAATTCCGATCAGGCTGAGTAATATCAGGGTGTTTGTTTACTTTAAGTTAATTTACTGCGATTGATTTAAGCTTTGTACGAATTATCATTTCATCGGCAAAACAATTTTATACTAATTACTGTCCTGAATTTTACCAATTTAGGATGTTACTGCTCAGCTGTTAGGATACCAATATCGAGTATGAATTAAGTGAATATCAACTGGTATTCTCAGCTATTGATAGAGAAAATTTTATAACCCGGTTAATTATATTTCTAAATATTCATTCATTTTGAAGACCATGTTTAGTATGAACGGGTTTTTGGACACTGTTTAATTTAATGGCTTACATCATCAAATTATTTGAGTTAGATAGCGACTGAATATCGGGAAACATTAGACAGATGTTTCACCATGGCATAGGAATCACTGATGATATGCACCCACAAGTCAGGGTCTTCGATAGCGTATGCGTACGCTCTAGATTAAGACCACTGAGCTGACATCTAATGGTATACACGTCTAGTTTCAATAAATTAGTCATACTGAATGACCAACTTTCATTACCTGCGATCGATAACTGTCTCAAACATGAACTGTTTCAATTCTATCAGTCATGTTAGCCACGAGTCTGTTAGTCCTAGGTCCGATTATCGATTGGTTCATGATGCCCACTGATAAGATTTCTTATATGGGAATGAGACAACTATCCAGTGCTTTCTAATTTTATTAGTTATCTGACTAAAATCAGTCTGTGATTTAAACTATCAAAAAAACCATTTTTATTATTGTTGTTGTAATGGTTTTTATCATTGAAACCAAATATCTATATGATTTTATATACAGTTTCTAATGTTAAAATAACAAGACAAGAGTATATTTATGTAATCAGAAGAAGTGTAAATGACTTAAATTCTGTATGTTTGTATTAATTAAATGGGATAAGAAACCCAACAACAACAACAACAAAGAACACAAAAATACTTGTAAAATATAATGCATAGAAATGTTATATACTTTCTAAGAAATATGATTAATTCTACCTAAGAGATAATTATTATTTATAAAGATAAGAGATCTAGAAAATTAACAGTATCTTAAATGACTCTTTTCTGTTCTATATATTTCATAATTAAAGTTATCCGTTATAACTTTGAATAAATATGTTATTAATTTTGCCAAGAATATTGATTTGGATTGTTGTTATGACTACTAAACAATGTTCCTTTCATAATAACCGAAGAGTTTAACAGAAGAAGGTATTTCCTGGAGTTCTAGCTAGAATCAGTGACCACTGGAGTTCGACCGGGTCTGTTGTGAGATAGTAACTCACTGAAGACAATGGTGGATGTGTCGCTCAATTTTGTGGATTATTTGAAGCTGGACATTAACATTGTTCGATGCTGGCTCAGTGGTCTTGAGGAGAAGCGTTAGCTCGCGATACCGATAAATCCTGTTTTCGAATCTGGTGGGGCGGGATCTTGGATGCGAACGTCTGTGAAGTCCCACAATAGGACGAAACGGAAGTGCTTCCAGGTTTTTTATGTTGATCTAGCTTCAGTTGACTCATGATCTCAACTAGTACCGAGATTTACATAAAGCCAGCGGAATAAGAGCATATCTGAATAGATAAATATAAGGGATTTATGTTGATAATAGATTGTGTTTTATTATTATCTGATAACCAAATTCACTCTCAACAGTCTTAACAATTCTGAATCAACCAGAATAATTTTACAATGGATGAATGAAATGTATGAAGGGTCGGCGTGAAATATCTCAATCCAATCTAAATTTTGTTAAAATATACTGGAACAACTTGATCTTCCGCAAACTCTTAGTTACTCATTAATAAGCAATTCCTATAGACGGACTAGGTCGTTATTCTTTGTTCATAAGCTTTTATTACTTTGCCAACTGAAAGCACTATGACAAAATGCAAAATATGCGTATTCGCAAATGTTGTTGGCTGAATCAGTATGAAATGTTTATATTTAACCGAAACTGAAATAATGACTCAAAACATCAGAAATATCAAAAAATGATTTGATTAGGCATGTAAACCTTTATATCTATACAGATCAAGCATATTATAACAAATAAAAATCAGTCATTTAGAATATTCTCATTTGTATAGGACAGGGGTTTTCTTGAATCATTCATTTTTGGTAAACAGTTCCTAATAGTCTGTTTTTCAAATAGAACAATTTCTAGTGTAGAGTATAAAACTGATGGTTACCGTTTGAAAGAAAAACCAAGAAATTTGATACGTGATAATACGTAAATAGGTTTCTCGATTTTTAGTCAGCTTTATTGATTTTTCAAACAAATTAATGACTTCACTCTGATTTAGGATCAAATAAAACAGTGATTAACTACCTCTACATGCACAATGTGCACATAAGTAAATTTTATTTAGAATTTGTTCATTTCAGAGAAATTCAAAACGGTTAGTTTTCATGAGAATATTCACCACTAGAAGATAATCAGTGTTGTGCTTTGATTTTCCTTAATTATCAAATGGCGAATGTGAACAAATATAGAAACTGTCATTTTTGGGTAGGAAAATCTAACTATGACATACTTATGAAAACCTCATATTCATCACTTCTTATAAGTGTCACTCGATAAATACTTCTTAAACATCATAAATAAGAGTTGATGGAAAATTACTAGTAAAACAATCTTCATGAAGGAATGATATCAGTTTGAATGCCATTAATTCATCCCAGTGTAAGAATTTTCAACAGTAAGCAAACATGGCAACATTATTAACCAAATTCATTACCTAAAGATACCGTAACTAGTTGATCATATTTAGATGGTTGGATAATAATCCAATAGTCTATATCTATAATTCCGAACAGCTCATAGTGAATGGAAAAACCTGCTTCTCACAAGCAAAAAATTAGCTAAGTTTAACGTCTCACTGAACGTATATTACATTATCTTAGTTTTAATCTTATCTTTTCTGTTCATATTAATACTAGTAAACATTCCGTTTGACAATATATTTCTCATTTAAATTTATTTTTGAATCCACTTATGCATATACTCATTTTTAACCTTAATCCTAACATTTCTAATCAAAATGCATTTTAACATTTGTCTTTCCTACTTTTACATCTTCATTGAAGAAGTTTAAGTGGTAGTATTTTGAACATTCTTTTATATTTCTGCCATCAGTGAATAAACTAACAAAAAAAATAAGGAAAAAAAAGAATCGAAACGTCTTGCCAGTATTACAATAGTATTTACTATATATTACTATACTTTCAGAAACACAGTATATTCTTATAGAGTAGTACAATTATTAACATGCATTTATGTGAAAATATTGTTGAAAAAAAACCCATATTGTTAGTTCAGTTATTATGGAAATCTACGTCAGTTTATTTACAGAATGTTTTCAAGTGTTATATAATAAATCTACAATAAGAATGATTTAAAAAATTCTCTAAATCATTTCATTTATTCGGTTAACATTTAAATGGATATAATTTCTGATAAGATGAATGATTGGTTCGAATAGGTTATTCTACTACTTCTTCATTAACCAAGGAAGCCAACTCAAAATATCTGAGTTATCTGTTCCTACCACCAGAAAATTTCAACAAGTTATCTGTTTTTCTTGTTTGTTTCAACACATCTTTATGCAATTTAGTCCCATAAACTATTCAAGAGTGTCTGTGAAAAGTTGACGACATTTCACTGTACAATTTACATAACAGTCCAATTAAAGATATTGTGGTTGCTGACAATATGCATCGAAATAAATATACATTATTCAGATGTCGATTCCTGAAATGCTAATATCTAACTGGTGACCACTCAGTATTTGTCTCAAGGATCTATCAAGAAACAAAAAGTAGAAACCTGTTGAAATATTTTGTGCTGAAGATTCAGTTTTACACCAAGAATATAATACCGAATAAGACTACTAATAATAATACAAAACATATATATATATATATATAAAGCTTTGTTTTCATTCAAATCTCATTATAACTTCTATATTGGTCACTATTTCCACTAACTAGTACAAAAATTTCGGCGGTAACCTTATTTCAGTAGTATATTGGAAACATTTTCAACGTCGTCTTGATATCTTAATGAGATGACATGAAATTTTAGAACATGCCATTTAAAGTTGAATTCACCTTAAAGACAGCAAGGATATTTACATAATTGCTCTGCTGTTCCAGTTTGATAATTGCTGCACTATCAATAAACACACAAAAGACCTAGATAAATTTATTGTTTAAGAATAGTTTTCAGTTAACAAAGATATTTATCATGATAGTAAACTTTACGACACATTATTGTAATACCAATGTAATAATATCAATAACCCATGATGTCAATCATTATATCATCAGCTGCAAATCTCAACTTACTAGTGATTTTTTATAAACTATTAGTTTATGAGTAACATATAGATACATAATAAAGCTGATTATAAGCTAATTAGTAACTATTCTATCATCAAATAGAAAAGGATGGCCAGGTAACTGTGTTTGTTGTTTTTATTTATTTATATTTTCTCTGAAAGTAAATAAAGAAAGTGAAATATCAAAATTATTTAATAATGTTTTCTAAAGAAATCGATTTCTTCAAATTTTCTTTAAATCTTACTTCCTTTCAAAACGTCATTTATTTTATCGATTTATTTATTTATTTTCATTGTTCTCAGATTCGATCATATATGATATGTAAACTGGTTAGTTTATTCAAAACACATGATCCTTCTAAAAAGCATTTACAATTAATAGTTTATAAATATGAAAATGAAATTATTCAATTAAATAAAGATAATGGATTTCTCTTTATCATCAGAAATTCTGGATATTATGAATGGATTCAAAAAACCAAATATGTAGGTTCTTTTATATTATATTTTTATTTCTGAATTTGTATCTATCTATATAATAAACTAAACTCTTGGAAATAATCAAAATAACCCATAGTGTCATTGAATAAGGAAAAGAGAATTCGGCGGAGAAAGTATTTTTTTCGACGAAATCATTTATTTAAGCTGTATATTAGTGATGCAATTTTTTTCTATCCTCTTATAGACATATAACCATATAACTACATATACGAATGTACAGCTTAAGTAAATGATTTTGTCGAAAAGAAAATTTTCTTCGCTAATCTCTTTGAAATAATCCAAAGTTAAATATTTTGTTTTATGGAGAAAAAATCTATATGATTACAATATTAAAACAGATAAGATTCTATATCTGAACATTCATTAAGTATTTTAGTGTACTAAATGTGTGTAACCTAGGCAGAAAGTATTCATCACTGCTATGATGGAAAGAAAAATCAAAATTCGATGGATTTACTCATTATGAGTTATGTTCAACATTACTTCCTTTCTGATTCAATGTGATGATTACTCAGTGTAGTAGTATTCGGTTTTGTTTTCTCGTATGATATTTTATTCTGTATAATATATGATATTTTTGTATTCAATTGACATGAACTATGCTCAGTATGCGATTTGTTATAATTGAGTATTTCTCATATATGTGACTTCATCCTAATTATTAATCATCAAAGTGTGTGTACAATCAATACGTAAGTGAGTGTATTTTCGACTAGGGTTGTCGTCGTTGTGTTTTGAAATTAATAAATCTTCACTTATACCAGTCCTGATGTTCTTACTTTTGCGTCGTGGGAATTGCAGAGGCCCGTCGTTCCGAGTAAAAGTGATAAGCGTTTCCGACACAACAATCAGCGACGACTAGATATAACAAGTAAGCATTCGATTCACAAGTTATAACAATTACGAACTCTGATAAGTAAATAACTTAATAGTAATTCATTACTGTCTAAAATACTTATAGATCTATCAAGATAGGAGTATATTTAGGAGACAGGCGAACTTTTCTTGATCAGTAAAATATGATTTAATGTTATTTGTTGTTGATGATTGTACATATTTTATCAAAAACGAACTGTATTATATTCAATAATACAGTGAAATTCAACTTATATTATTCTATAAAGAACAATACTAACTATCATAGAATGATAACTAGTTTATTTCACTAGCTGTTGTTTTCAAAGTGCATTTTATTATTTTTAAATCAACTGTCAGACAAATTGATCAAAAATATATTGAAAATTGAGACGAAATTTTCACGATTTCGAATCACGGTAATCACTTAGCTTCGTTAAGGCACATCAAGACAAAAGCTATTAATAGGATTCGAGTACATATGTACATAGGGAAAAGAATGAATCGACGAGTGATATTTTAACTATCAACATTTAAGCTAGAAGGAGATATGTGCGTAGGCTGTTACATGTGATCAAGCGTACACGCTTATAAAAACAAGATAGTGATCATAATAGTACAAAGAAATAGATGAATTGTTACTGGTCGAATAACATTGTCTGTTAAGTTAATAAAAAAGCTTAACAAAAAATTAACCATAATCGAAATTGATTTTGGGAGAGTTGCTATAGTATTACCGCTGTTTGATACTACTGAATTCGTTATTTAAAGATCAATCGATTAACTGTCGAAATATATTTTTAGATAATAATTTCTGAGAAGGTAATCATCACTAAATTGACTTAATAATTATTTTAATAAATGAATACACATATTTACTAGGGTTTTGTTGACGGAATTATAATCAGAAAATGGTAACTTATGGCATTTTGATGCTCTGAATGTACAAACAAATCTTTAATCCAAACTTATATTTCATACATAGCATAAGTGTTGTATTGAACTTTTCAAACTCATTGCTAAATGTAAAATATTTCATCAGTTGCTTTGAACATTAACAGATAATGAAAGAACAGCTTATAAGTGATTTCTATCACCAAAAACCTCTGTACAAGATTGATTTTTGTATTATATTCTACTTTCTAATAGAACACACCACTGTCACATTGGATCAAATTATAGACATTTATGATTAACTACCTTCAGTGACAAACTATTCCGAATTCAGTGACCATTAAATAAGGTTTTAAATTTACTATTAGTTATTGATGAGATAGAAGGAAACAGTAATATCTATTTCTGGTCGTTTCACTTAATCTTTATTCGGTGTTTGAGTGTCTTATCCCTTGAAGGATCATATTATATCAAATATTTTCTTTACAAAGTAATGAGTTCATTTAAACAGCTTTTTAATGAAACATTCCTTAAAACATTCTAGTAACTTTAAGCTGTGTAGTTCACTGTAATTTATTACTAAAAACTTTTCTGGATAAAACAGTTTTTCTAATTATGTAGAAAAGTAAATGTTCTGAATTTATATATCTTACAGTAAATACATTTAGAAACTTACAGTTTATTTTGTTACAATGACGATTACTAATAACGTTTCTATATAAAATGACTCCAGTTCAAAGTTTGCAAGCAAAATATTACTTTTCTGTAATGATCACAGACGTCAAATGAAGATAAATATTTATATAATCAATGTTTATACCAGATCGAGTATACAAAAATTCCTACTAAGTTATGCATTCTTCAGGACAAACTAAATCCCATCGATTATACTGAAAGATGAAAAATCACTATCGAGATGTTCATTATGTACTGTTTAATAGTTGGATGAAATCTTCTATTTAAAAAAAATCCACGTCTAAACTCTTTGGTGAAAACTGAGGACTACAGATAAACACTACGAAGGAGTAGATGTTTTTGTTCACACATTTACTTCAATTGTCGTACTATACTATTCTACTTGAAATGCTTCTTTTTATTCACTAAATCTTCTTAAGCTACTTATTTGCATAAAACTTAAAACCACCATAACTAATGCTGAGTGATTCTTATTAAGTACTATAATAACATAAAAATGGGATTTAATCAGTTATTAACCACAAAATAAAAGGTTTTATTACAGGCACTTCTAATCCCTCATTTCTCCTAACCATTTTTTTAAAATGATTGTTCACAGTCGAAAAAATCTTTATAACTATTCATATTTAAACCAATCGAAAAACATATAACATAATCAAATAGTTGAGTTTATGAGTCAATTAAAGCTAGACCACCATGGAAAACCTAAAACCACTGAACAGCCATTTCGTTCCATAATATGGGATCCCTCAGCTATGCGCATCCATAATCCCGTTTGCGCACAAAACCAAAGTTCCTGTATTCAAATCTCAAGATGGATATATACTGGTGAGAAGTCCCACACTAAGACAAAACGGTCATCCAATGCTTCCATGTTTTCCGTAGTGGTCTACCATCGATTGACTCATGAACTCAACTATTTAATTATTACAATCTACATAAAATCCCTTTCTTTTAATATAACATAATCATTAAGTGATAAATTGTTATTTAACTTTATTCATAAATGAAATATATGTTAACAAGTCAAATGTGTATAATTGAATCTATCAATTAAATATATTTGATTGTTTGACACATGAAACTTTATTTATATTTCAAGTCATAAAAGTCCTTTAATTAGTTCGATTAAAATAAGGATAGATTAGTAAGTTTATATTATTTTATTGAACTTCCTTTTAAAAACTAATCGTTAGATTCAAAAATAAAGTAATCAATATAATAATAATAATGAAAAATCCATATAATATATCGATATTTACTATATAATCTATCTTTTTGTGTATGATCAATTTGCCGTATAACTAACTGAGTCGATGATGCAATCACATTAGAGATGCTAAAAATGTATTTTATTGTGATAACGTACCTTAGTACAAAAATTTTTAAAAAAAGCATTTTTATTGAGATGAAAATTGTACATTGTAGTGCTAAGGAATCTCATATAGCTTATTCTAGCTCTAAGGCAAAGCACTCGATCCATTCTCCATAAGCTACATTTTAACCTTGTTAATTATTCTCTTATCAACCTTGACTGTTTTTATGTAAGCGTATATATGTGCATTTCTCATCTTACTCATCACATGCCTGTAACTTATTCTTGTGTGACTACAATTATCGATTAAATTTAGTTGGCTTACATGATTTCTCCACCGCGTGTCATTTTGCTTCGCTATCTTCTCTCTGCTTCATTTACTTCATTTCTCTGATTGTCTATCCAGATCGATGTGAGTGCAAAATATACGTCTTCAAAAATCTATTCTCGTATTTAATTACATTATTCACTAACACGATTCAAGCATTGGCGACAGTAATCATTTCAATAACGATTCGAAACAACTTAAACTGGAGGCAGATCTAAAGCCATTGAAACATAGTCAGAGAAATAATGAAAATCAAAATAACGAATAATTGTTAGTTATATTCAAAAATCAGTTTTCATATAACAACGAAACAAGTTGCTTAGATATTTTAAGTGAATTTTGATCTTTGAGTATATGATCAATTATATATATATATATATGTTTCGATAGTTGATTCAGGGTTTTAATGTCGGATTTCTATACAACTGCGTAAACTGTAGTCATTATTTCTGTAAACATAAGTATATATAATAATGACTGGATAAAGTTTCCATTTATTTATAAAGTAAATCCGTTAAACCCTATAGTATTGAGTAGGACATGGACAAAAATATTTATTTAGGAGACATACTAATCAACACATTAAATCTTCGTAGTAAATCAGAACAAATTACAATCAATTAATCTGAGAATATTTCCCGCTCTATTTAAGTTTATCAATCATAATAATGCATGGAAATAACATTGTTATAATCATTATCGATATAACTTTCGAAATCGATTATCGTATTTTATTAGTATAGTTATATAACTGAAGAAATATTTCCTTATCAAGTTATGAATACATGACTCAAAGTCTTTTATGTTTCGTTGTTGTCTATACATTTCCAATTATACTCTAAGAATGTTAAAGTAATTAGTATTTTTTGGGGGGGGGTATAATGAAACCAATAATCA